CCAAACCATTCTGTTAGTCTATGATTTTATGGTCTTTGAAAAGAAAACTGTGATGAAAATCCCTGAATTCATAGTGTCCTTGAATACACCCTAAGTCAGCTCTGTACCATGGCTGTGGCTGACAAACAAGGGCTTGTGCACAGTCCCCAGGAGTGGCACATGGCACCAAGGGCTGTGCTGCTCAGTCAGGGCTGAAAAGTGAGGGGTGTCAAAGAGCTTTGGCCACGGCTCAGTGGGGTTCTGACTTGCTCTAGGATGATGCCACAGAGCTTATAGGAATTACACATCTGCTGCAAAGGGAAGATACTCAGGCATGGAGAGGGAGCTGAGGATGCACAGCTCCCACTGAGGCACGTGTGCTGTTCGCAGTCACTGGCTGTGACTGCAGCACACACAAGCTGTGTGGGCCTCGTGTGTGACACTGTCAGATAGGTCTATAAAGTACATTATGAGATCATCCAGAGAAACACAAAGAAACCCTGAGTGAAACTCCCTAAGATCATCAAAGCAGCAAAACTGTGCCGAAGCATCAGGATGGCTCAGCCTGTTCATGGAAGTGGTGGTGTGGCTAAAAGCTGCTGCCCTGCACAGGCTGTGGGTTAAGCCTATGTCATAAATGCTCTCCACAAAGCATGTGGTTTTCAGAAGGAAGATGCTATGGTATTTCAGTGTATTTATTAAACCTACCAGGACATGAGCCATAAGTATCCCTAGGGGAAGGTTTCTCTGAGATACACCATATCTGCAGCTCAGAGTGGTTCCACTGCCGTGAAGTAACCTCTTTTTCCAAACAGTGTAATGATGGGATCTTTGTTATTGCATTACTGTTGTGTATCAGTTCTTTGGAGGGTGTGAGATCACATCTCCTGCGTGTCACAACAGGAGGAAAAAAAACTGGGCTGAAAATAGATTTCTGCAGCAAAGCAAAATAAACGCAAAAATCTGATGTATCCAAGAAATATATCTGCAATTCACATGCAAACCTAAACAGGGAGAAAACAATTGACAGACAATATACAAACAGTTCTTGTAATAAACTTTTGAGTTCATACTGGTTTCTACAGCCACCCCCCACCTGCTGTATACTCCACAGCCAAGCTTCTAATTACAGCCTTCCTGTTGTTTTCCAGTTCATCCTCTGCCAAATAATGGGAGGAGAAAGGATTATGGAAACTGATACACTTGACAGCAAAAATAAATAAGCAAATGAATACATAACTAAATAACTAAATAATTAATCTAGTAGTCTCCAAGACAAGGCTATTCTATCATATCTCCGGTACTTTGAGCCAAACTTCAAGGGTTATTCAAGAAAAGTGATGATCTGGCACCTCAGAGAATAAGACATAAGTATCAATTAATGCTTAATTAACGCTGCATGACATTGATTTGAATAGCTAGAACCTTTTAGAAGAATGTCTCTCTACATTGTGGGTTGAAACAAGATGCCTTTGGGAAGAATGAGAAGCTCCCTAGTATTATGTAACATCTCTATAGTTATAGCACCTGGAGGCTTTGAGTGTGTCATGAGCCCAACGTGTTAGGTGCTGTATAAATATACAGTTGCTAAAGATGCTTATCTTGGATTTGCAGTGTAAACAAGAAAATATGCCACGCAGTTCTGGTGACAGGTTGATCAAGGCTAAGGAGACAGGGGACCTAAGGAAATTTGAAAAGACATACACATTGTCTAGCAGCCTCTAATTTGTTGGGACAAGGGGATTTTTACAAAAATTTATTCCCAAAACTTTATCCATATAAAGTGCTTGCTAAAGCCCCCAATAAATAAGAGTTGCCTTATGGTGTTTAACAGGAAAATAGAAAGGAAAAGAGTGCACAGGTTGCAGCAGAATAGCATGATAGCCAACAACAACAACAGTGTTTTCAAGCAGGGTACCAAATGCCAACTGCCTAGTTCCATCTTTCCTCACCTGAGTAAGAGCAGACTTATCAGCAATGAGCCACAGTTTCCACTGAGAACTGCAAGAGGACAGCAGCTCCAAAAATCATCTTATTTCCAGATCAATGATGGATGCTCCTGAGAAATAGTTTATATACCCTGAGGCATGTTGCTACTTTTAATGAGAGAGTAAAATAACAGATCCTGTTATTTGTGCTGTTCATATTCATCTTCGGTGTGCACTGAAGTGGGACACAAAGGTGTTTAGAGGGCTGGAGGCCTTCTCCTGTGGAGACAGGCTGGTGGAGTTAGGGTTGTTCAGTCTGGAGAAGAGAAGGTTGCAGGGAGACCTCAGAGCCCCTTCCAGAACCTAAGGGGGGCTACAAGAAAGCTGGAAGAGGGACTTTTGATAATGGCATGGAGGGACAGCGCAAGAAGGAATGGCTTCAGACTGACAGAGGTCAGGTTTAAATTTGGTATCAGGAAAAAAATTGTTTCCTGTGAGGGTGGTGGGGCACTGCCACAAGCTGCCTGGAGAAACCATGACTTCTCCTTCACTGGAAGCATTCAGGGCCAGGTTGGATGAGACTTTGAGCAACCTGGTCTAGTGAAAGGTTACCTTGCCCATGGAAGGGGATTTGGAATGAGATGGTCTTTGAGGTCCTTTCCAACCCCAAACATTCTATAATTCCAAGACTTCAAAGATAATGAAGATAGTGGACACAGATAGTGTCCACACAGATAGTGGACCAGCCAGCATGGCATACCTGGGAAGCAGCTCTGGACAGACCCTCTGAGGGGAAAATGTGCCTCATAGCTGGCTTGACTGACTCCACTACCCAGCTGGATGTAACTGGGAAAAAATTCTGTAATTCCACAGGAAATAACTGATTTGGATTCTATTATTGACTCTTTGACCTTATGTCATTACTCAGATCTCCAGGTAGCAAAAAGGTTATCAAACGCATCATGGTGGTGAAAAACTGCATTTTGCAATGAGTAGCATTTTGTAATGAAAAAGTCTTCAGATTACACTGGCAAATAAGGATTCACCTTCAGTAAAAAGCTATTTAGACATGTCCTCTGAAATTCCTGTCTCTTAATAAAGAGCATGTCATGAGTAGCGACTCACAGCAATTTGAGAAGTTTTACTTTAGAGATCGCCTCTTCTTCTCCTTACTCCACTCAGTTTTCTGCCACCTCATTATACTGTTACTACTTCCTAGGAAACCTTGACTTTTAAAACATTGTTTTTCTTTTTCTTTTTCTTTTTCTTTTTCTTTTTCTTTTTCTTTTTCTTTTTCTTTTTCTTTTTCTTTTTCTTTTTCTTTTTCTTTTTCTTTTTCTTTTTCTTTTTCTTTTTCTTTTTCTTTTTTCTTTGTTTTTTTATGACTAGTCTTTATCTTGCAGTGAGATCTTTCTCAGGGGTTGACTTTTTGAACTCTTGCTACAGACACAACATTTCAGCTCACACCAGCCCTAATACTTCCCTGCCCATGGCAGGGGAGGCTGGAATTAAATTATATTTATGGTCTTTTCCAACCCAAACCTTCCTATGATTCTAAGATTATGTAAAAAAAACCCATTTAATTCCTTATACGAGTAAGTGGCTTCTCCCTAAGGAGTAAAGAACAATGTCCAGGACATGACTTGCAGGCAGAATTTTCATGCTTTGGGAACTGTCTCTTCTTTCTTATGCCAGTATCCGTGTAGTGCTGGTGATTAAAGCACTGGTGTTCACTAATCACTTCCATTCTGTCTTGCAAGTACACATAATTCTGCATCAATTTCATTTAAATATCATTTTATATTCATGGCTTTGACTTTTAGAACTCCTCCTACTGTACTTGTAGTTTTAATATTAACAGACACTTCTCTCTCTCCATTCATCACTCATGTAAAGACTTCCTGGGCTGAGGTGAACATTTGCTGCTTCTTTATATGACAGGAGCCATAGGTGCCCCAGCCCTTCACTTCTAGCTGAAAAGTTCTTAAAGATCACCCCTCAGCAACATCCTCTAAGAAAGAGTGTTTTGATTTGAAATGTGACAAGACAATCTCCAGTGGTCCCTGTCAACCTCAAATATACCACAATTCTTTGATTCATGCTTATGCTTCTCTGCCATTTCCTTGTAATTTTCAGTGTGCTGAACAGTCCCAGCTTTGTTTTCCTTCCATTTGAGATGTCCCAGCAGAGATCTCCAAGCGACCTTCCCTTTTGATCACTATGGACAGTGCCACAATCCTGTCACCTGTCTGTAACCTTGAGATCATCTTCAATTCGTACTTCTCTCCCAGATGCATTGAAGGTACACACACATTCGAAATATGTTCTGTGTATCATGCTTCAGATAACGCCTTTCCTTGCTCTCTACACATCTAAGTAAATCTCTTATCTCAGACCTTATCTTTGAACATGTCAATTACTGCAGAATCCCTTTCTGTCACTCACATCACAGATGTAAATTTGCCCTGATGATATTCCCTGGCTACCAAGGCCATTTTTCCAGATATAACATTGATTTCCCTTCCCCACTTCTATTAAAACAAGGCTGTCTGCATCCAATCAACGCATGCGGTCATTTTCCATAGTCTCCGCACTGGATTTTCAAAGGAGTGCTTTTGTATTTTCATTCAGGCTGCTCTCCACAAGCACAAATAAAATTACCTTGCTAGTGCCTTTCTTTCTCTGTAGCAACATCTAAAATTCTCTGACAAGGACTAGTTCACATATGTGCTATTAGCATTTCCTGTCATACTGACCAACACTTTCTTATTACATCCATGGGTCTCCTCTGTCACTATCCACAGCTTCTTGATTTCCACTAAGATATAAGTCATTTCATGCAGAGAATGTCTATGTTCTTAGAGTGCCTGGCACAGCAGAAATGAATCCATGACTGAGACTGTGATGCAAATTATCCTTGTCAGCTAATAAAAAAAGACACGGGTCAATAATAGTCGAGTTCTAGAGAAATTTGAGAAATTCCTCATGACTCCAATTAGAGAAATCTGCTCAAGAAACATTAAAGATATCATAATTTTATTCTAAACGACAAAACATGATTTAAACATCCCAGGCACTGGAATTAGTACTCACTTTTTGTAGTTGCCTCCTTAGAAATATCTAGGAACAATCCATCAAATGCTTCTTGTAGAATACTGTTTTAACCTCGACGTGTTATTCTCAGTCTACCTGAAAAATACACAGACATTAAAAAAATCAGCATTTTGTTCAGTGATTTTTAACTTATTTGCTATAGAAAAATAAATTAAAAACAACTGCTTACTGTTATACAGGGTATCTAAAACAGTCATATGTGATTCCTGCTGTAATATCACATCAGCACTACTAGGGTACACTTAGTCATCTCACAGAAAGAAATGCATTTGTTAAATACAAAAGAAGGTTTTCTGTACAGCACTTAGAATTAAATGCTCTCCTCAACTAACTGTGCAAGCATCCATCCCTTTGCCGAAAGAGTAATTAATCAATTTCTCTAATGTAAATTTGAGGGTTTCCAGTTTACACAACAGTTGTTCCTTTCTTCTTCTGTGTTTTTTGCAGGCTTCAGAAGGTAAAAATAAAAATAATTTTTTCCTATTTATGCGATTATCCCAAATGTCTCCTTTCTTAAGTCTTCTTCCTTTGTTAGAGAGAAATGACTGAGATCTTCCAGAGATGCCTCTTGCTGTTTCCACTCACACCAGTAAATTATATCCTATCTGAGTTGTGTATGGCATTGAAGAGCCACAATTTAACGATGCATGTGTCACAAACCTATCACACTACAAGCAGGAGACTCAAAGAAAATGTATAACAGCATTGGGGCTCTTCTCCTGCCTCTCATTAGCTAATTAGTCTCAAGTCCCTTTTCTTAGCTCCTTTCCTTGTCTCAGGAAGGTGAAGTCCTGTATAGACTGGGAAGGTGGAGAACACAGAAAGAAGGTGTGTGTAGTTCCACAGAAAGCCACATTTGCCAGACCCATCAGCTCTCCCAGGCTATCCACTTTGTTAGATATGCTTCTATTCTACATTCACTCTGGTGCACGAGGTCTTGAAGAATTGGAAAAAATAAAAATAAAAAAAATTAGAAGGCTGAGTGATGTTGTAGCATACTGTTAGAGAAGTGGGATTCCACATCTTTCCTTGGCAACTTATTTCTGCATATATGGTCCAAAACTACATTGACCTTTTAATCCTGCCAATTACAAATTAATTTTGAATCCAAGCTGTCTACTGAAAAGGTGCAAAGGCCACCTTTAAATAGCTGCTCTGCTACATTGCCCTTTACTCCACAGTCCATATCCTTTGTCTTCCTCCCATTAATATTGCTTCTTCAAGAACACTCCTTGGTTCTGATTGCCCCATTGTACAGATTATTTCTCCTCCACATGCGCTTTTCAAAGCTGCACCTCATTTTGTCATTTCCTGCCTAAGGTTTCTAGTCTCTCTATCTTTGCTGATTTATGCATTGCCTCCCAATTTGGATCATTTGTGATTTTAATTAACATGTACTCTTTTCCTGTCTTTTGGCTAATGAATGAAGATATTTAAAGAAGACTGGACTCAGGACTGCTCCCTGATGTTCCCCCACTAGAAAACTCATGTGATTCAACACATTTTCATTTATTATCTCACTTTGCTAATGGCCTTGTGGATGGTTTTTAATCAACATCACAGGGTCCTTATCTAAGCCAATCTGAATTAATTTTGTGAGTATCCTCTCTCGCTGGTGCTCACTTCAAATAGACAGGAAACAAAAAAGCAGAAGAGGCTATCACTTCACCAGAATGCTTTTCTGTGAGACCTGGAAATGAGGAGGTAGTGAGAATGAATTGTTCACTTTCTTCTCTGAGGACTCTGGCAGACTTAGGATCCCCTGTCAGCATAGCACCTGTACTCCTCCTGATTTTCAATATATGTATTTTAAAACTGTTTTTCAAGACAGGGAAATGTTTTTATTCCCACTTTGGACAATAAGCTGCAGCACAGAAAATATAAGGAGGTGCTCTGCTCTATTTCTTTAGGAGTCATGGTTAGAAGCTGAGGGCTTAAGGTTGCTCTTGCATTTACACCTCTCTTCTGGAAGTTATTGTGACATGCCTACCTGTGTATCTCTGGGATGACCCATCAAATGCACCATCAATGCGATTTAATCTCTTAAACAACAAAAATCCAGCCAACCAACCAACCAACCAACCAACCTACCCTAACCCAACCAAAAAACCCAAAGCCCTAATGTATGGATGTAAGTACATCCATAGTTATATCATAACCTGAATGTCATTTTAAAAGAACGGGCACAAATAACTTAAAGTGATCTGGAAAAGGTGAGACTCAGGTACTCAGAACACATAACTGCCTAATCCAGACAATAGAAACAGAATAAGTCTTATAGCAGTATTTGTTGGATCTGGTCCTTAAAGTTATTTGGGCATTTCCTTCTCACTCATCTAGGTTTTGAGATCTTTCTGAAGTCCTGGACCAAAGTGTTTTCCTTGATGTTATACAGGATATTTATACCAGATTTCAGTCCAGATTCACAAAGTCTAAAATGTGGTCCCCACCTGATAACTTTTGTCCTTTCCTATCAAGAGGATTATTCTGTCATGTGATGGAATTTCAGCTCCAATCATGGCTCTATGTTCCCCAAAAAGTAGGGTCCCACTGACTACATGCACAGCATCCTCCACAGTCACCTCCTGATAAACAGCTTTAATATGGCAGTGATATTCTTTCTGGATGAAAATTAAAAACACCTTTCTGCTACAGCAAAAAGGCATTTATAGCATGGACTTATTTATGTGGGTAATTTATTTTAATATAACAATTAATTGATGTTTCTGAATGAGCTCTTAATTATTATCAAAAATTTAAAGTATATGTGGTTTTTAATAAAAACCAGCAGGGTTTTTTAAAATGTTGCTATTATCCCCTCTTCCTTCCCACCCTAAATCCCATAAATCAAAACTCATGGGAAAAAACAAACAAACAAAACCCTATGACCCCATTAAAAAAATAAAAAAAAAAGGAAAAAAGGAAAGAAAAGGTGAGGAAAGGAGAAAGGAAAGGGGAAAGGAAAGGGGAAAGGAGAAAGGAGAAAGGAAGGGAAAGGGAAGGGAAAGGGAAGGGAAAGGAGAGGGAAAGGAGAGGGAAGGGAGAGGGAAGGGAGAGGGAAGGGAAGGGAAGGGAAGGGAAAGGAAAGGAAAGGAAAGGAAAGGAAAGGAAAGGAAAGGAAAGGAAAGGAAAGGAAAGGAAAGGAAAGGAAAGGAAAGGAAAGGAAAGGAAAGGAAAGGAACCAAATATTTCCAGAAACATCAGCAATCATAAAGAAACTAATCATAAGCTTAGAAGTTATCTAAGGGAACACAGAGGGAGGTAACAATACGAAGAAGACAATTTAGAAAATATTTGCAGGAGCAAAATTTATAAATATTCATTATATCTTTTAAACACGTGTCCAAATTAATATGTGTTCTTGCTTCTTCCTTTCCCATTAATATATTTAGTGCAAAAATATATGTAGGATAAAATATTATCACCAATATTCTCTTCATATTAGGAAATAATTACACTGTTTTTTCATTCCAAACTTTTAAACATGGCCCAGTTGGAAATGAATTACTTTTGCCTTGCTAAAAATAAACATAAGAAACTTAATCTGAGTCCATCACAAGTGCAATTTATACTCTACACCACTTCTGTAAGGTGTAACTAACACTGCATTGCTATAATTTATTATTGGTTTAAAAAGGCTGAAAATCAGATCCTTACAGCAAAAAGGGGAAAATGGGAAGCTATATGCCAGGCCTATTATTCTGGCTTATATTAATTCAGTTATTTTACCTTTGGTGCACATCCATCTATCCATACAATGTGAATGCTCCATTGAGAATGATGCTGGGTACTGAACCTTTGGCTCAATATGAAATACGAACTCTGAAGCATAGCTGCAATAATACTGCCATTTGCATTATTATGATTAACATTCCCCTGAAAAGGATGCATCCAGTAATATTAATTGCAGAAATAGTGAGATTCCAATTGTCATAAATCACTGTGCAGGGTAAAGCAAGCTTTCAGAAAACAGCACAGAAAAATTCTTTTTTTCGTTTCTTTTTCTGAGTTCACTTCAACCTCATTTTCACCAAGCTTTCTCACTTGTGTCCACTGACAAGACTGTAGTTATGCTTTACTCTTGATTAACACATTCCTTTCAGTAAGGTCCCAAACAGCTTTCACATGAAAGGTTGAATCCAACAGAGCATGTTTTTTCTCATTAAAGACTTAGCAATCACCCACAGTTGATTTATCACACAGATAGTTCCCGTCTCACAGGAAGGAGAGTGGCCTTGAAGCCAGTGTTCTCAGTCTGATCAGAAGTTTTCTCCACAATAGTTGAAATGAATGCCTTTTCAAAGATGGTGATTGCTGAATTAATTTAGTAAGTGAAAATACGGGAGGGGAAAAAGATACATAGTTTCTCTATTAAAGCACAAGGAGACATTTTGCCTTATCTGAAACAATATCATCACTAAATCTGCATGATCTTATTGAAATATTATTTATATATTTATATATTTGTATCAAGTCAACATTTCCCCTCCACTGCCATTTCTTTCCTCCACAGTTAGCAAAACTGTCAATATTCATTGATTCATCAAAACAAGCAACCCTGACATTTGGTGCATCAGCTTTCATTTGTAACAGGCATACGATGCAATGATTTATTTTGATGTATTACATTGTACCCTAAAGAGCATCCAAAAATAAAAATGCTTTCATTAGAAGTGTTGTGAAAACAAGGCATCTGCATCAGGGACCGCACACAAGGAAAGAAAAATTTTTTTCAACCTGTGCTCTTTAGTCCAGGCTTCTGATGGTTGGATTGCTTTGGAGTTTGCTTGCTTGAGGGTTTTTTCCAATATGTTGTTTCCAAGTCTATCATATATTCAAAAAGCAACTGAAGGGTCTAAGCAGTGTTCAGAGCTGGAAAGAGCAGAGCTTTTCCTAGCTGGCATCCTGCTTTGATTAACTCACAGTAGGTGAGATTCCCCTGAACTACTGTGGCATCAAATGAGTTCCTAATGACAGTGCCCACCTTGTGAGAAAACACCTTTCCTGAGATGGCAATTAGTGCCAACCTCAAAGACACAAGAAATGGTCATAGGTGGCCTGGCTGCCTGCAGGAG